CCCCGCTTTAAACCATTTTGAGATAAGATTTTGCTAAATTGCCCAGGCTGGCCTTGAACTTGCAATCCTTTTGCCTCAGCCACCTAGTGTGTCAGTATTACTGGAATGTGACATCACACCCAGCTCAGAATAGTGTCTTTCTAAGAAATGGAAGAGACACCAAAGATCTCCTGCTACCATAAAGAAAACAATTTTTTTTTAAGTCACCTAATCAATGTTTTCCTGTAATAGCAACCTAAAAGCAACTAATACAGGGTACTTCGTGCTTATTTTTTAAATGTTCATTCGTATCTATATCCATCAGCATTTTTTCCTGCTCACTTAATATTGGGCTCTACTTCAGAATTATTGTATCAAAGATGCCTGTTCCAGCCATGAGCAGTGGCACACACCTGTAATCCCTGCCCTTAAGGAGATTGAGGGAGGAGGATCAGTGTGAGTTCCACTTAGACAACTGAGTGAGACCGTTTCAGAACGAAAAATAGATACAAATTTAAGAATGGTTAAGCATATTAAGAAAGAAGCTGAAAATTCTCTTTTTAAAAACCAAACTCTAACAGTCCTTATGTATGTAACATTATGAAGTTACTTAATTTCCATAAGCCTCATTTTAAATTGGAAGTATATTGGAACCTACTTTACACAACTGTGAAAATTAAATTAAAACTGGAGTATATAACAAATCTTTATCCCAAAGCAGGTCACACAAATGTGTAAATGACGTCTTTTATAATATAACATATTTTTATAGTGAACTATATTTTTCCATATAATTTAATGGAAAATACTTAGCCTCCCCCCCTTCTTTTTTTGTAGTAATAGGCCTTTTAAAATATTTTCTTTTCTTTCTTATTTTTGGTACCAGGGATCAAACTTGGGACCTTTCACTTGTGAGGCAGGCATAAAATATTTTCTTTTGATAAGGGGCTCACTAAATTACTGTTTCCCAGGCTGGGCTCTCCTCAGCTTCCCAGAGTACTAGGATTACAGGCATATACCACCATGCCTGGTGCTTCATTTCTTCTTTTTTAAGCATGGGAACAGAGCAAATTTATGCTTTCTGGCGTTAAATCATGGCTGATATTATCCCATACTAAGCCCCAAAATATAAACTGTTTTAAGGCACCTCAGAATCACATGAATTTTATTTCCTTATATTATCAACCTACATGGTTGAAAATATAATAATTTTTTAATCTATATGATTAAAGACATAGTTAGTTTTTTCCCCTTAACTTATCAACCTTGAGTTACCAATTTGTTTTTCTTTCTTTCTTTTTTTTTTTTTTTCTGGTACCGAGGATTGAACTCAGGACCTTGTGCTTGCAAGGCAGGCATGGCGCCACCCAGCCCTTTCGACTTGCCAATTTCTAATTCTCCTCATACTGGTAATCTCCCAGGATCTTAAATTTGGTTTGGTGATATTATATAGTAACTGCCTAATAAGTGAGAGCTCTTTTCATGTATTATTATTATTATTTTAATAAACAACCTCAACATTAGGAAAGATTCAAATGATATTAACAACATGTACTATTGTAGAGGTATACCACCAACATGTATCATAAGCTATTTAGCCAAGTATTATCATTGAAATATCTTCTTTCTTGGCAGTAGTGGGGATCAAATCCAGGGGTATTCTACCAGCCAGCTCCATCCATCCATCCATCCATCCATCCGTCCATCCGTCCGGCCATCCATTTAGCCAATGTTTTGCAGTACTGGGGATCAAACTCAGCAGCATCCTACCACTCAACTACATCCTCAGTCTTATTTATTTATTTATTCATTCATTTTTAAAATTTTTGAGACAGAGTCTCACTAAATTGTTCAGTAGGACTCAAAGTTTCAATCCCTCTGGCCCAGCCACCCATTGAGGAGATTATAGGTATGTACCACTGAGCCTGGGTTCATCATAACAAAGTATCTTGGTTGGACAGCCATAATAGTTACTTCTTTTCTTTACTGGAAAAAAAAAAAAGTAATGCACGGGAATGGTCTGAGGCTTTCACACTGCGTTGAATTAAAATAGAGCTTGGCATATTTCTGAGCTATTGAAAAAAATTCATAATTTTCCCCCATTATTTACCAGTTGTGAAAAGAATGCTTTGGAACCTCAAGCAACCTCTATATATTAACAAATGAAGAGCTTTCTCCTCTACCTTTCCCCTTTCTTGAGGGACTAAGGGAGTACTACAGTGAACTGTTGATTTGAATATATTTCAGTATTTATGATTGTTTTTGTGACTTTTTTAGTTCCTGTGTCCTTTTGACAAGCTTATAGTACTTTTTGACTGCTTCCCTGCATCCAAATTATGGCTAGATGGAAGATTACCTTCATGTGTGTTACATGCCAGATATGAAGCAAGCTACTGTAGTTCTTTGAGCAGCTCTAGTTATTTTTATACAAAATGGCATTTTAAAATACATTCATACAAAAATACAATATATATAAAACAAAAGAGTTGTTAATTTATTTTCTTTTCCCTTAAGAGTTTGCACTAAGTACGTATTTTCTTTGGGTAAAGCTAGGGAATACGTATTTTATGTTGAAGATAAAATACATAATAAATTTACACTATTATCTCCAAATGAAACTTCAACTTAATGACTTTTTACTTCTTTAATTTTACTTTTGCATTCTTTTTTTTTTTCAACTTTTATTTTCTATTAGCATCTTTGCAGAACATAATCACATTCCTTGTGCAGAGCTGGCCCTATTTCTTTAACACTGTGACTGAGGTAGAAGAAAAAAAGGTAGAAAAGAGCCAAGGAAACTATAGTTTTTACGTTTGATCAAATTTACCTAAGGTCACCATATCCGTACTCCCTAGGCTTGGGACCAGGCATTCTAGAAACTTAAGACTCAGCCTATCTCCTTCTCATATATGTGTTAGTTTACTATGGCTAGAAAATTTATAAAGACAGATTGGTCAATGTCTTAATTTCCTTAGAAAAAGGGGGATTAGCAGGGACCTAGAGGCTGGACACGCAGATGAGCAATAAGTAACCAAGAGGAGGACAAAGCTTGGCATCTCTGCCTTCAATTTTTTGGTCACTTTTACTACCTTAAACTTTAGGTTAGATTCCTGCTCAACTCTACATATAGGCATGGTGGTTACTTAAGGAGTGTCTATATTACAAGATTTACTAGCCCTAGATTTACCTAGCCTATCTTATCCCCCATCAAAATTCAGGACACCACAATAAGAGTAACTAAAGTAATTTTCAGGGACATGCAATTGTCAGATTTTACAATGTCCAGTTCCAGATCCACAGGAGTGACCACTAGAAGTCTCCAGTCATTGTTCCTAAACCTACAATTACCTTGGGTTCTAGGAAAACCAGACCCTCCCAGTTCACCCCATGAGGTCACCTCCCCAAATGGGAGCAATTATCCCAAAACAGAACTCTCCCTCCTTCCCAAGCAAGAATCATCTTAGGGGAATCAAATTGCTCTTCATGCCGTAAGGATTCCTCTGGAGCCACACAACCAGAGCTAAGACAGTGGCCAAGAAGACTCGAGCCCATGCCAGCAAATCCACAAGGCTGACCTTGTTCTTTTATGAGCAGTCAGTCTGAACCTCATCATCAGAGTGTGCTGCTCAAGCTGGACTTCTTCTTTCTAACTCTGCCTGTGCCCACACTGATGGGCCTTAAAATCCTTTATATAACAAGAGTGAACAAATGTACTCCTGGGCAAAATTGAGGTTCCCATCTACTCCTTGGGGGACTGCCCCAAACCTTGGTGACAGGACAATGACGTAATTATTAATTTGCATTATCAATACATCTTGGGTTACATGGTGAGCTCAGGGCCAGCCTGGATTACACAGCAAGGTCTTGTCTCAGAAAAAAACGAACAAAAATAAAAACTGCATTCATTTTCTCAACCTGTATAATGTAGTCTTGTCTGCACCTTGCTTTACTCAATTAAAATCCTGGAAATCATTCTACACAGGATTTTATCACACCACTCCTCCTGTCCCCTTTATAGTCATGCACTCAATAGTTATTCAATCAGTCCCCAGTTGTTTATTAGGTTGATATAAGTATTATTAAAAAGAACAAAATTAACCCAGGTGTGGTAGCTAGCACACAACTACAGTCCCAGGTATTCAGGAGTCTGAGGTAGGTGCAACACTTGAGCCCAGGAATCTGAGCCTTGGAAAAACCAAAAAGAGCAAAAACACTTACTTGGATCATTTAGGTCTGACAGGCTTGTTTTTCTTTCTTTCAAGTTTGTAATTTTGGGTATTTTTGCCCCTGGTAAAATGACTTTTCCATTAGTCTGTAAATAATTATGTCTACTGCCATCATGACTCACAATTATATCAATTGGAACCTTTTCCACATTGTTCCCATAAAACTTCTTGGTTGTTAATCCTGTGTTTTGTGACTTTTGTCCTCCAGCATTTTGATGAATTGACGTTCTTAATAATGGTCCAGTAGATTCATTCAAAGTTACAGCTTGTCTGCAATTTCTTTGCAAATCATTATGAAAAATAATACCACAACTTTGGCATTTGGTTTGATTTTCTTTTTCCTTTCCACATTTTGGACAACATTCACGTTGTTTAGAAACCTTAAATTCCAAAAAGAACAAAAGAAAGAAAAGATATTGATATTTTACTTCAAAGTCAAGATACTCCCTTAAAAATGTCTCAAAACTCAGTTCTTATGCCAGGTGTGGTAGCACATGCCTGTGATCCCAGCACTCGGGAGGCAGAGGCAGGAGGATCACAGCGAGTTTGAGCCTAGCCTGGGCTACACAGTGAGTTCAGGGCCAGCCTAAACTACAAAGTGAGACCCTGTCTCAAAAAAACCAAAGCGGAAAAAAAAAAAAAAAATCAGTTCTTGTTTTATTTCCTTGGCTAAGAGGAGACTCTAAATAAGTTATGATACTTGGAATTCAGCATCAGAATGCTGGTAAGAATGTCAAGATCACAGGATTTCAGCAGTCAGGTATGGGTAAGCTAACTCCATCTTTGAGTCTGAGGAGGCAGGGTATGTGAGAGCATCGTACAGTCAGGTGACCACTGGCTCTAACACTATCCCATAATAAAGGCAAACAGGACACATTTAAGGGAAAAGAATTATTATTTTTTTGGTACCAGGGATCAAACTCAGGACCTTGCGCTTTCGAGGCAGGCGGCGGCACCACTGAGCTAAATCCCCAGCTCCAGGTATTTCTTTTATACAATTGATACTAAAACAGAAAAAGCACATCCCTATGATTAAAATGCCCAATATTAAGATATAGAAGCAAATACATTTTGAACTATTAGCATAGGAACATGTACCTTGGAATTATTTCCAGGAATTAGGAACAAAATGCTTATCAGCTGAACTGAATAAAATATTAAAATTTTCATAATAAAAAGTATTTTATCAACCTAGTGATTTAAAAACTAGTATCTTAATACTGCTCAATTAGTTTTAGTAAAATATATATGAAAGTAAATTTTTATAAAAACTTTATTTGAAGTATAGTTTCCTTTTGAAAACAAAAATAGACTAAAATCTCATTTCCTGTCTTTTGGTCTGTGGAAAACTTGTACTAATTAAACAACATCAAAATACAAACATGTGGGTGTAGCTCAGTGGTAGAGTGCTTGCCTAGCAGGCTCAAGGTTTGAGCCTCAGCACTGGTAGGAGTGGGTGGGGTGGGGCAGGAGTTACAAATTAAATATCACAAACTATCTACAGCTCTCCACACAACTCCATTAAATAAAAAGGAGCCTGTCTTTGATGAGACAACACTAAGACAATGTCATTTTTAGTACATATCAAGATGTTTAACTCCATTAAATTCAAAGATCTTATTTTCTTATAAGAAGCACATAGTGAGGAGATTCACAGACTACAAATGGGAGGAAAAATCACTACCTTTGTTAACAAAGATTACTTAGAGGCTAGCTATGATACTTAATTTCCACTAAGAAAAAAATAAGGACAATTGACATGGAAATAAAGAATAAAAAAGGAAGATTTTAGGCTTTAAAAAATGTTTTCAGCTGATATGCCCAGTGGAGGAATGCTGCTATGATGGTATTTCCTCCTTCCTCATTCTCCTTCACCAGGGCCAAGCAGTGGAAGATGCCAGTATGGTCTTAGCCAAGTGTAGGTTGGCAATCATTCCCAATGCAGAGCATAAAGATTCATGGCAATTAAATGTAACATATGATTCTGAATTGGATCCAGTACCCATAAAGGACATTATTTATGTGACATCTCAATGAGGTTTGTCAAACAGATGGTTATTTTTCAATTGCAAGAGCTGAGAACTTTTTTAATACAGAATCACAACTTCCCTTTTAAACACACACACACACAAAAACACAAGTATTAAGTGTTAAATGGGTTAAGTGTTAGAAGGGCATCATGCCTACAAATTACACTAAAATGATGCATCTAGGTATATGTGTATGAGGGAGAAAAAGGGAGAAAAAAAAAGGAGGGAAGACAATAAAGCAAATGTGGAAAATGGGAATTTGAGAAGAGAATATGTGGATATCCTGTCTATTCCCACCAACACTCTGTAAATTTAAAATGAATTCAAAAATATTTTGGTAGACAAATTATTGTAATGTGTTACAGGGATAAAATGATAAATTGTTTTTTTCAGAAAAAATTCCATATTCTGGACAGATAAAAAATGGTGTATTTGACTAGAAGTGGCTTCACCTAGCATGAGTTAGATGGCAGGAGTTTGATCCTGGAGTTTGATCCCCAACACTGCACTGTAAAAAAAAGAAAAAGTCTACTGAAAGTAGAAAAGTTTGCTTAAATAACTTTCCAGGTTTTCTCTGGTCCTATGATAAAAGATCATCTGGAATTTAATATGCACTAAAAGTAGTATTAATAAAAATTCCACCTGATTAGTAACAAAGAATAATTTCTCTACCCACCTCTAAATGGGTTAAAAATTTTTTTGAAGGAGGAGTCAGAGAAGTAGGCTGGTATGTACTACATTGCCGTTTCTGTTGTACTTTCCTCTTAATTTCAGGCTCTACATGTGATTCAGACTGTTCTGTTTTCTTCATTGTACGTTCTAAAGGAAGGAAAAACACAAAAGTGTTGAAATTAAATTTAACAAATTTCTCATGATTCCTGTTTTAAAAAATAAAACCACTAACTTATATTCCTAAAGACTGTTTTAGTTAAAGTAGTGTCTCAATGTGCATAATAAAAAATAAGCAGAACTTGAAGCTTAAGTCAGCAGAGGGCCTATTTCTCTTGCACTTTTAGCTCCTCAGCAGGATCTCCACACTCCAGGCCACTTCATCACGTATGCTGTTGCTCTCCTCAGGTTACTGTGTGCTACTAAAACTACAGAAGCATTCCTGCACTGAACCACATACATATCCTTAGTAATGAGGGAAAAAAAATCTGAATTCAAACTTTGGGTGCAACTGTTTAAACAAAACTAAGTTCAAACAGTTTGAATTTAAGAAATACAGAAGATAATTCTCCTCATTCTTTCACTGTAAATTTTAATGCCCTGTCCACATAATCCCAACCTTGCTAAATACTTCTATGCCCTATCTTTAATATTCTTTTTTAAGAATAAAACATTTCATAATATTTATTTTGATATTCAGTTCCATTTAGAAGCCTATAAAATCATTTTTGCTCAGCGAAACCATACAGAGGCTAAGTGATTACCATCCTCTCAGCTTTTGCAGCTTTGTATTAATGAACAGAGCTAGATATTAACCATGGACTATTCCTTGCTTCTTCTTAATCCTCTACTTCAGATGCTTAACTCTTGCCCAAACTCCATTTTTGCTCTTTTCAAATTCTTCTCCACTAAGGAGCTGGGTATGGTGGCGCACATCTGTAGTTTCATCATCTGGGAGGCTGAGGCAGGAGGAGTTTGAGGGTAGCCTGGGCTACATAGGGAGATCTTGTCTCCTAAAACCAAAATGAAAAAAAAAAAAGTACTTCCCCACTATTGCCAAAGTGTTCTAACACAAAAATTTGATGCTGTTGTCCTAACAATTAAAGTATTTCATTCCAGCAGCTAAGGTGAAAAACAATCTAAATCCCACCTTGGCAAACAAATATTCTTGATGATGCTCCAGTCCTACTTCCAAACTTTACCTCAAAGAGGTACAATTCTCCATGGTGTTTTCTCTTTTACCCTCTTACACATGTTCTCTTCACAAGCAAGGCCAATCCAATCCATCTGGTGAACGCAAAGCTTTCTTTGCTAAAAAGCTGTCTTAGTCCTACCCTTGCCACAAGAAGCAATCCTTGAAGTTTCCATAACACTTTATCTGTGCATGCATAAGCATTCATTTTATTTTGTTGCATTTATTTGTACTGATCTGTTTTCCTTAGTAATAGCTCTGAAAGAGCAGAAACCATGTTTTAGTCACATGTTTTCCTAGCATCTAGAAACTGCACATGGTATGGATTAGACAACCACATGGATTAGTGAACCACATGGGAGACAACACCGTATGATACATTAAAAAAATTAAACTACACGAGTGGGGGTAAGACATGATGTTCTCATGTCATCTCTGAATGTGGCTTACGCTTTGTCACACAGAGATGATGATTCACGCACAGATCTAGAATCTTACAAACAGCCTGCTGGTATGGAGACAAACCAAAGATGCTTTTTTTTTTCCCTCCCATGATGTTTCACCTGAGGTTACAGAGAGGCCTTGGCCATGCAGAGCATTCAAGTGTTAACTATTTCCATGAGGGCTAGCTTACTTTATTAATTGGATATAAACAAGCAATTTCCATACAAGTGATTATTAAAGCACTCCAAGGTGGCACGATGAGTAAAACAACAGAGGCAAAAAGTATTCTTACAAAATCAGAAAATATGCAAATGCAGTTACCCAGAACATACCAATTATTTGTGAAATTTAATTTACAACAGAGCAGTCTTAAAACTCAGCCACCCAAGCAGGGCACAGTGTTCCATCTTCTTAAGGGGCTGAGCTGGGAGGGCCATTTGACTGACCCCAGGAACTAGAGACCAGCCTGAGCAACAAAGAGGGGACCTATCTCAAAACAACAAACCAACCAAAACCCAAAACACACATCCTCCTCCAGTTTTCTGGCCTTACTAAAATTATTAGTATGCAAAAGAAACCTTTTCCCTCATAAACATATTTTACTAAACTTTGTAAGCTATACAAAACCTGTGTACATCATTTTGCTCAAATATGTATCTGTCAGATCTTAAAAACAAGCAAATTCACCATACAATGTACAAAACAGTACACATAGTACTAAAAAATGGGTGTGTAGTCTTTCCTTACTATCTGTTGGGGACTTGCTCTAGGACCCCTCAAAGATAACAAAATCTGCAAATGCACAAATTACTTACAGAAAATAGGATGCATATAACCTGTGTACCTCCTGTATAATGTGTATCATCTCTACATTACTTATAACACCTAATACACATTATAAATGTATAGAGCTGCCTGTATATAGAGAGAAGAGGTCCGAAGTTGTATTATATTAAAATGATAATAGCAGCCCTTGTGGAGTATGAGAGGATTGTTTTCTTCTGTATATGTGTTACAATAATAAATCAGGTGACTGAGCTATAATCACACAATATAATTTCATTAAAAATGCAATCAAGCTAGACATGGAGGCACATGCCTGCAACTCCAGTACTTTGGGAGGCTAAGATCAGGAGGATACAAGTTTGAGCTTAGTCTGGGAAACTTTTTGAGACAGTCTTGTTAAGTCACTACATTGCCCAGGCTGGCTTGAATCTGTGATCCTCCTGCCTCAATTTCCCAGAGTGCTGGTATTATAGGTGTATGCCAATACACCTGGCAAGCTTTTTAACTACAAAATTGCTAGTAAGTGCTGATGTATGTCTACAAATTATCAAAATTCATATGAAGTGCCTCTTTAAATTCAAAATAAAGGCAAATAGAATTAATCTTAAAACAAATTGCAATCTTCATGAAATAATATATTCAGTATTATGACACTGCTATTCATCCTACACCCAAATATATTTTCACCTACACAACACAAGAGAAGCTAAAAAGAGAGGGCTCTGTTGCCCTTCAATATAGAGTCCACCAAAAAAATGCATACACACTTCAGCAGTTTGCCATACCAATAAATGTCTAGACGCTAATGGCCACTGCTTTGAGTACCTCTTGTAACTGTAAAGATCGAAGGTGACTTGTATTAATCTCACGATGTCTCAATAAATTTAGTATTAAAATATTTATGTTTTTCTTTTCCTGATGTATACATTTTTCAGTGGACTCTATTTAAATAAAAGATGCAGTATCTCAATGTAATTCTTTCAAAAAAATTTACAAGTTAAATGTACCAACATCTCTCTCCTGAATTTGCAAGTATTGCCCATGTGAACCTCATTTATTTATCAGCCTGCAGATATAAAGAACCATGTAAAGAGATACAACTCTTCCCTACACAGGAATTAATAAATATAAGAGATGAAAGTAGAAAATGACCATTAGCCAAACATCAACCAATAACTGCTGCCAGCAAGACCCACCAATAAGCTGAGAGTGGTGGTGCATGTCTCTACTTCCAGCTACTTGGAGACTGAGGCTAGTTCACAAGTTCTAGGCCAACCTGGGCAATGCAGCAGGACCCTGTTTCAAATTAAAAAAAAAAAGCCGGGTATGTGGCTCAGTGACAGAGCCCTTGCCTAGTGTGTGTGAAGACCTGGGTTCAACCACCAGTACTGCAAAAATAGAATAAAAAAATAAAGATCCACCAATGGATGCTAATAAAATCAGTGGGTGAAACTTTTAAGGAAAAGTAGAATAATTCCATAGTCTTGGAACATCTCATTTAGTATCTTTATTAAGGACCAAGGGGAAAACTATTTTACAGTGAAGAAATCCAGCATAAACTACCTTAACCAACTGATCAAGGTATGCATCACCAGTAGTAAGGCATATGAATGTCATGTAATCCTTGATATCATGCCCTGAGAAGAGGTGCAACATCCCTTCTGTGAATCTTGTCAAAATGCATACAGTCAATCTTATAATGAGACACCATCAAACCCAAATGGAGGAGGCATTACCCAAAGCAGCTGAGTCTTCAAAATTGTGAAGGAAACTAAGAAAACCTGACAACTAAATGAAACTGGATCCTGGAATGAAAAAGGGACATTAGGAAAAAACTGATGAAATGTGAACAAGAACAATAGTTAATCTTACGCCAATGCCAATTTATTAGTTTTGATAAATGTACTACTGATTAGAAAGATGTTTGCATCAGGGAAAGCTGGGTTAAGGATAAAAAGTCATCTCTTTGGTTGTGAAAGGCTTCAAGCTCAAACTTTCCACTGCTTGAACAGCAAAGTTTGAAAAACTGCTCAGAGTTCATAACTTTGCTTGACAGTCCAACTAAAATTCAGACTTGAAAAATCCTGTATGGGGCGAGAGTGAGTCACTTGTTGCGTCTCACTGGACAGAAAGGAACGACACTTCCTCAGGGCCACTCTCGCCCAGACAACATACAGTGAGTGCTTGTGTTAGTGTGTTAAAACATTCGCCATTGGGCTTTTTTTCCCTCTTTATTTGCATAAACTATAACCATGGCTCCAAAGTTTGTGATACCAACAGTAAAGCTAAGAGGAAAACTGTTAGAACCACAATACAGTCAAAGAAAGAAATTGTGAAATTTGTTAAACTCCTGGAAAAATAAATCTGTAAGTGTAATTTTTGGGCTCCAAACCAATTTGGTTTTTCATTATTTCTTATGGGAAAAATATGTTCACTTCTTGAACTTCTCAGTGTTCAAACCTGAATTTGGAATGAATTGAGTTTTACAACTGAGGTATCACTATATTTTAAAATAAAGTTAACAACAACAAAGATTAATACTATTACTTCATGAATGGTCTTTAATTAGTTATTTGTAACTAAATTATGAGTATCTAAAATTCTATCACTTAAACTCTCTATAATGCATTTGTTCAATGGGAATGATAATACTTGCACAATTCTGAGGATTAAAAATGAATAATAATTTCTATATGAAAAATAATATGAGAAATAATAATTTCTATATGATTGAATAATAATAAAATACAATGACAAAAGCATGGGATTTGGCATCAAACAGGCCTAGGTTCTGATACCAGTTCTACCATTTGCTAGCTCTGCATATTTCAGCAAGCTATATAATCACCCTGAGTCTCAGCTTCTTCCTCTGTACAAAACACAGGGAAAAGATCAATTCAGGTGTAGAGATTTTGGGATGGAAGTCAGGATAACAGTAAATAATGAATGTAAAACATTAGACTTAGCATCTGGTACAGATGAAGAGCTTAACAGAGATAGAAAGTGTAACAGAATGTTGAAGGCAGTCACTATTACCAAACTAAATAAATATGAGCATAATTATGTACTGCAAAGTATAATAATTCATATTCAAAGTGGGTGCAATAAAGTAGAAAATATGCCTGCTTCACAAAACAAACTTAGCTATTAAGAAAACCTAGCTATTTAAAAATAATTAGATTTTGGAACTTAGTGCCATGAGAACCTTTTAAACAAGCAAAGTCCTGGGAAAATCAAGGAGGACACATATTAAGAATCAATATTTTGGGCTGTGGATTTAGCTCAGTGATTCCGCCACCTGCCCCACAAGCACAAGGATCCGAGTCTGAACCCCAGTACCAAAAAAAAAAAAAATCAATATTTTTGGTGTGGGGATTTAGCTCAGTGGTTCCGCCACCTGCCCCACAAGTGCACAGTTCCAAATTCAATCCCCAGTAAAAAAAAAAAAAAGGAATCAATATTTTAGATAATGAAAATCCATTTGATGGTGAAATATTTTTCATAAATGTCATCTGTCCTTATTTTAGCATTAATGAGTTTATTGAAAACTATTTCACAACAAAACCCAGTATTTCATATATACTAATATATGTATATAATTTTTACAAACATATTTCTATTCACACTGTTTCTCCAACATCTATTATTAACACTTTTTCATGAGATGTCCTCATTTTAATTTAGTTCCCTAATGCAACCTATATTTTAGGATCAAATCATTAACTGAAAAGACAACATTGCAATACAGTTCCAGGTCTTCTACACTCAATTTTTAAAAAAACACAAATCATACTCACAGGACTGTGTTGTATTCATAGGACCGCAATCACCACAACAGTATCACATCCAAGTTAAAATTCTCAAATCATTTATCAAAATTTTTTAATATATTTTTATTATATGTAGGAACATTCTAAACTCAGTCTTATTTCTACTTATACCTTTCATTCACAACACAAAACTCTGAACAAGTGTAACAAAACTATATACTTACCAACACCTTGGGCCCGACTTAACCTTACAAGATTAATTTCAACTTTTTGGACATGAGGTGGGTATTCTTTCCTAGAAAAGGAAATTTATATAGTTTACTTAAACAGGAAATGCAGTTTTCAAAGTGAAAAAGTTAAGGGGATACTTACAATACATTTACTAAAAGTAAATTAGCTTCTTTGTCATATAGAGTGATACTACAAAATAGTAAAACCATAGCTAGATATGGTGACATATGCCTATAATCCCAGGTACTTGGGAGGCTGAGGCAGTAGGACCACAAGTTGAAGGCCAGCCTGGGCAACTCAGTAAGACCCTGTCTCAAAATAAAATTTAAAAAGGGATGGGAATGTAGCCTAGTTGTAGAGCATTTGCCTAGCGTGAGAGAGGCCCTGGGTTTAATCCTCAGCCCCATAAGGAAAAATCAAAAACCAAAACCCAAAAATCAAAAGGTTAAAAAACTGCGTTATATAAATATACTAAAGCTTAGAGCATTACGAGATCCCTAACAAACAATGATTATTTTACTCAAATTGTCAATCTATCAGACACCATAAGAGGCAGACAGTTGAATAAAAATAAATTCAGATCATCATCCTTTCATAACAGTCACTGTTTTATTTTTATTCTATTTTAAAAATTATTTTTTGAGACAAGGTCTTGCCATGTTACCCAGGCTGGCCTCAAACTCTTGGGCTCAAGCAATCCTCCTGCCTCGGCCTTCCAAATAGCTAGTTCCCATTTGTCTTAAAATATTACATTACTTTGTCAAACTTCATGTACAATCAATTTTTAAATAGAATTCTTAGTAGCTAGATGTCGAAAATACTACATCCATATATCTCAAATCCACTAATTTTGGGAAAAAGCAAAAGCCCTATATCTAGCTGTGGAATAAAAGCATTATATAAGGAAAACTACAGAAGTGTGACAGACTAGGGAGCTACAATTAGTTACTTTCCCATCCTAAATAAAAGCTGCTGAAAGCATCAGAAAATCAAGATATTTTATTTATTTATAAATCTATTTACACTACTGACCAATTTTTCTATTCATGACATTTCAATTAATCAAATATCCCAAAAATTTTTCTTGAAAGGATTTCGTATTCCTATGTTATAAGTCAAAATGCAAAATGAAAACAAACTATGAAAACCACAAAAGGAGAAAATATTAACAGTGTTGATAGTGTATCTGGAAAGCAACAAATATAGAGTATCATATGCCAAGTACTGGACTAAGTGCTTTGTATCTATTAATCCTTTTACTGCACAAAATAATCTTGTAAGGTGCATACTATTAGCACTTTATAGATGAGGAAAGTGAGGTACAATTAGGTTAACGAACTTGCTCATGGTCACACAATTAAATGGCAATATCAGAATCTGAATATTGTCAAATTGCATCAGTACTGAGGGCAACATCAGGTCCAACCAGACAATTTCCACTCTGGTAAGATTTTAAGATTTGTGAGGATACAAATTTTGAAGATGAAAAATTACCTTAGATGTAGTAGGTGCCATAAAAAAAGGTTACATTTTCAGCTCCTAATTGCAATCTTAGAACTATAATAAAATGTGTATTTTTATACTGTGTACATTTTCACGCTAAAGCATTACATAGGGCTGGGAATTTAGCTCAGTGGCACCGTGCCTGCCTCACAAGTGCAAGGTCCTGAGTTCAATCTCCGGTAGTGGTGGTGGTGGGGGGCACAAGAATTATATACAGATATAATGGTCTTACTCTTAAATAATTGCATTCTAATGCCCAGTTTTTATAATTCTACATTTTGAAAAAATAAAAATGCTAACTTTAAAATGTAACACAGAAGCAGTGAATCTGAAGCAAATACAGTAATACTGTTATGGTAAACTCCCCAGTAAGTTTATAGTTTTAAAAATTAAAGGGCTGGGGATTTAGCTCAGTGGTTCTGCCACCTGCCTCTCAAGCTCAAGGACCAGAGGAGTATGATCCCCAGTACCAAAAAAAATATATATATGGACCACAAAAAAGTAGATATTTTAAAGTACTACAGATTATTAACAAGTTACAGGGTGGCTATGAAGTCTGAAAATACAGATTTCTTTTTTTAGTTTTAATTTGCTTAATTACTTTATATTAGGATATGCCAAAAGCACAGGCTTATTCGGTGAAAATAACTAACACAAATGCTCTGAAAGAGTAAATCATATAGACATGTACAGGGATTGATGAAAATGCTGCACTAATAAACTATAATTTTTTTGTCAGATATAGTGGTATACACCTGTAATTCTAGCACTCTGGGAGGCTGAGGCAGGAGGGATCATAAGTTTGAGTCCACTCTGGGCAACTTACTAAGACTGTCTCAAAACAAAATATTTTAAAAGGGTCCAGGCATGGTGACACACGCCTGTAATCCCAGCACTTGGGAGGCTGAGGCAGGAGTACTGTCCCATAATGAGTTCAAGGCCAGCTTGAACTACATAGCAAGGCTGTTTCCAACAAAAGGCTAGGGCTATAACTCAGTGTAAAGGCCCTGTTAATCCCTAGTAATGCAAAAACTAAACAAACTACAAACTTTGCAGTCCAACACACAGTGCATTACTAATGAGGATTACCACAATAAATACATCATGTAATATCTAAAACCTTAGCACGAACTGTAATTTAATATTAAATTACTATGTACACCTGTTTCTATTTCCCGACTTTATAACCACCCTTTTAATATTTGCTACATTTTCCTATACAGCTAGAAAAAATTAAGTTTTATTTTTAAAAGATGAATTGCAAAAATAAAGGCATCTCAAATTTAATACAAGAATATAAGATGTTTAAGATAAAAAAGTGTTTGGTACAAGAATTGAAATAATTTTCTAATCATAAGCTATCTTATCTCTTTTGAAACTCAGTTTTTTAAAAATTTTTTAATTTTTTATTAGTGATCCAAAAATCAAAATGTATGTTAACTTTTTTCAGACAGGGTCTTGCTGTATAGTTCAGGCTGGCCTTGAACTCTGTAACCAAGGGTGGTCTCGAACTTGCAGCAATCCTCCTGCGTCAGCCTCTCGAGTGCTGGCTTACAGGCATGCACCACCACACCTGGCTCTGTATGCTAACTTCTTGATCTGAGGGATTTTTTTCTGTTAGAGACACAAATATCAATCTCCAAAATGCTAAGAAGCTGAAGCCTAGAATTTAACTTTTTCACTGGATATTTCTTTTCCACCCCAAACCAACTAGAGTTAGGGAAACTTCTTCTATGGCAAAACATACATAATGCAAAGTTCACAAAAACACAGAATATTAATTTGTAGGTCATCCATGCTAATCATCTCTGTATCATTCCAATTTAGTAGATGTGCTGCTGAGGCAGTGTTTCTGGTACCACCATCCTTTTTCCTAATAAGTTCCTAAAATGAGCCATTTCTTCACATTCCTTTTACTGCAAAGAAGTACTTTATAAAGGCAGGATCTGGAGAATGTTTTGTTTTTTGGCCTTGCTTTAAAGGTAGCTCTTTTATTAGTATTTCCATCACTTGCAAACGATGTCAAAAGATGCAAATTTCTGCTGGGTGGTGTCATGCAAGGGAGGAGTATATTGAGTTCCAGGCCAGCCTAGGCTACATAGTGAGTTCAAGACAAGCCTGGACTATGTAGTCAGACCCTGCCTTAAAAAAAAAAAAAGACATAAATGTCTACGAAGAAAACTATTCATCAGTTAGAAACTCTTATTCTAATCATTTTTAACTGATAAAGCAGTTTAATTTTTAAAAAAAGTATTAAAATCTCTAAAAATTTATTCTAACCAAAAGGTTGTTGCATTTTACATATTTTAGGTGTGTTCCTATATTTACTTGTTATACTCTTACAAACTGTGTTTATCTATACCAGTACCATCAAAAAAAAGAATTTCTCTAGCTTTGTTTGCACTTCTCTTGTGGATCTAAACATGCCTTTACTTGCAAATTGTTATTTTATGATTCTTGTAAGCAATACAGTACAATGAAGTTTAATCAAACCAGTATATCTTATTAAATATATTCAACTGGATTACAATTACTGTAACAGTTAACAGGATTCTTGTTTTGCTTTCATCTGATTTTATTTTTAGATTTGTATATTTCACTGTTTTTTTCCCTCTTATTTTTATACAATTTTGCATTCATTTGTCCATCCCTCATGCCCCTCCCCCCATGGTTAATTTATCAAAGGACTAGCTATTTTCTTTCTCTCAACCCTTCTTGTACTTGTGGACTTCTGCTGCATTAACATGTTAACATCACTGCAGAAGCTAGGGTATAGTTCAGTGGTAAGGCTACAACTATTTCCTCAAACACCTGTATTGGTGTATCACATCTCTAATAGAATGGGACCTTCAAAATACTTTTATTTTCCTACCTATCCTCTCAAGAAAGGTCTCTTCCAAAATAAAGCTTTTCATTTTTCCACCTTACCCTTTCCCAAAAATGACTGCTTTTGCTTCTGCTTTTTTACCTATCCGACTTGTAAATTTTAGTAAGACAGTTTTGGATACCTAGAGAGTAGGACCAATTTTCCTTTACAGCACATTTCTATTTAGACAGTAGAATATATTGAGTTTTAACTGAATGTCACTCAATCTTTTTGTGCCAATTGTAAATAATTTATATAAAAGATTGTGTTTTAGACTCTACAATATTTATTAGGCAATAACAATTCCCTAACAAAGGTGCTCAGAATGCTTTTATTCCTTAAATATAAATCCAAATTCTTCAGATCAGCTTGGAAAGTCTTTTTTGATCTAGGTCCCAGCTAATCATGAAACATTCTTTTCCTTTAGCTCTACCCTTCAGTTACAGTAGCCCCCACCTTTTTTTTCCTGTTCTTTGAACCTATCCCATGCATTAATAACTAATCTGGAAAAGCCACTCTTATGATCATAAAACAGCTGAGTCCTTATTTAGTCCTTGGTCAAACATTAGCCATGTAATAGTTAAGAATTTCTGTAACAAAGTGTGATCTAAAGAATACCACAGTGTCATGTTATCACACTGCATTCCAATTATACTTCTCTACATTTTAACTTTCACTGATTTTAACTTTTACTTTTACAGTATTAGTGTTTGCCCCATCAGAATGTTAACTACAGCTCTTTTACAGAGTTGTGTATCACTAGATCCTTATGCCTAGAGCACAGCACTTGAAAAATACAAAAAAAAAGTGTATATATAAAAGGTAGTACATAATCAGAAGTGTATTTAATTTTATAAACAACTGTATAAGGATACCAATGTTGTCAAAACAACCACTGGCCACTATGCAGGCCTATAATAATTAAAAACATTCATTTGTTAGCCAAAGTACAAATGTCATAGTTTGAGGATTTGAAGGGTACTGTGGAAAGCTGGGCATGGTGTGCATGCCTGCAAACTTGTAAACCCAACACTTGGTAGGCTAAAGCAAAAGGATTGTGAGTCTGAGGCCAGCAAGACCTTGTCTCAAACAGAAATACACACACACACACACACACACAAGGTACTGTGAACTTATTTCTATTTATGGATTTGACAGCTTGGCTGGTAGCTGAATATACTCAATCTGTTCACTATTTTACTACCTAGTCCTTCCCTAGTGTTTCCATATTCAATTAGTATTTTCTTTACAGTAGGCTTTATTATGCAGCAAGTCAAGTCATTCTTTACCCTTATTTATTTTTGTTTAGAAAAAGTCCTTAATTTGCTCTTCTCAAGTAATCTACTAAATTAAGAATCAAATGTCTTGAAATAACAAACTGACAAGAGACTTTGAACAGAATTGCATTAAACTCACCTTATTTTAAGAAAAAATGGCTCAAATACAAATTCTTACCAAGCAGAAACATAATATATGTCTTAGATTAGGTTCTTTAAATGTATTTATAAGGGGTTAGATAACTAATTTCACAACTGGGTATTCAATTTTAGGTGCTGTGAATGAGATCATCTGCCTTTTCAATATACACTTCAATTGATTACAAGTGAAATTATTATTAATCTTATAGTCTATCACAAGATGGCAACCTTTTAGAGTTTTCAATAATACCAACGACCCACTGCAGTATGCATGCCATAGGTTCATCACCACTGGTCTAGCATCTTATTCAAAAATTTCAATGACTCTTACAATTCTAAGAAAGAAGGTATTATGTAAATATAATTTTATTTTCAGATACCTTGAAGCAGCAATTTAGTTATTATGAACTGGTTCCATCTTTCTACAATTTAGCAGCTCTTATCGAAAGTATCTGAAATTTATTTTTGTAACCAAAGAATTCTTTTTCAGAGATGTATTCTAAGAGATGCAGTTAAAGATTTTATATGAAAAGTGATTCATCAATATGTTTTATCTAATAGTGAATAATAACCAAATGGGCAGATAAATTATGTATATATGTAAGGTAAGTTTTTATGCAGTTATTAAAATTAATTTTCAGAAGCCATCTTGATACAGGGAAGTACTCAGAACATACTGTTAGGTAAAAATTCAGAACACACAGTTATATTTTCATTATGATGACACAGTGTTAAGTATATTAAAAAGTGCATAGGAAATAAGATAAAAAGAAACACATCAAAATCCTAACAATGCAATATTCTAAGAACTTTTTAAAAAATTGTAAAATTTTAAAATGTATTTGGCTTTTCAAACGCACCCTGTAAGTAAACATTTTTGTTATTTCCCACATTTTGATTGTATTCTTTTCATCTTCCTGTTTCCAAATTTTCTACAATATATTTTCTACAATAAAAATATTAAAAACAAATTCTAAATTTAAAAAATCATCCTGTGTTTCAGTTTTATAATGTGTCAATAGATTCTTTATCCAGGGAGAGGAAAAAAAATGCAACAGTTCTAATACTGGAGCACATATTCCTGGTTGTTCGTGCTAACACTCACAGTACATTTACAATCCACTTGGCCATCAGTCAGAAAAGAATCTGAATCCTTCAAATGATCAAAGTGACCCACACTTTTAGAACCGGCAACACGTTTCTTTTTTTAAAATTCTGCAGGCTCTGGAGCTTAATACTGTAATTTATTTGTTTACTTTAGCGTGGGTTTACGCTTCTAACATACCTCAAGGTACTCAGTATATAGTACAAGTGAAAAACATCCTGGAAAGATTAATCTTTTACAACTACCTCGTTTGTTTGGGTTTTTTTTTTCTCTTTTTTTGGTACTGGGGATTGAATTCAGGACCTCGAGCTTGCCAGGCAGGCACTGTGCTGCTGAGCTAAATCCCCGGCCACAACTACCTAGTTTTTATTAGATAAACCATTGTCCTATGAATTTATTTCAGAAGTTTAGATTTATTTCATTTAAATTACATTACATTTATTTCACTTAGAGGTTTACATTTTATTTCATTGGCTTACACTATTGTTCACAGAGGGAGGCTTATGTGAATAAAATTTTATTATATAAAATCTGGTAACATAAATGTTCTTAGTTGAGCTCTGATAAACACAAAATAACTTTAGGTAAGGATCTAAAGAGTTATAGGCTATAAATTTAGCCTTAGTAAAGCGCTCAGATATATTTGTTGTAGGATCACTGATACAGTAGCTTCTTTTTTTTTCTTATGTTTTAAAATTTTTTTTTTATGTTTTTATTTTTTGTGGCTTCTTTAATCTAGTTTTCAAGAGCTTTAAAGTTCTTACAAGTAATCTCAGCACACAGACTGAAAGAATTTTAATACCTATTACTATTAATGTCCACCAGTTTCACATGTTTTTTTGTTTTTTGTTTTTGGTACTGGGGATCGAACTCAGGACCTTGCACTTGCGAGGCAGGTAGCGGCACCACTGAGCTAATCCATGGCCCAAGTTTCACATGTTTACAGTAAGTCAATTTTAAATAATTATTTGTTCCTCACAAGACTACCTTAACATTGGATAAATACCGTTACTGCCATTTTAAAGCAAGCAAAGAGCCTACTTGCTGGTTATGCCGGTATATCAATCTTCTAACCACTACTCTAGCATTGTTCCAATGAGAATGTAAGCTACAAGAGGGTAAACAAATTTCTCTCTGCTCCTAGAAGAGCACCTGTCACATATGGGTATTTAAATATTTGCTGTATGTATCAGTTAATAAACTCTCACTATATAAATATGCATAAGACATCAAAGCAGTGGAAAAGAATCAGTATAAAAACATGACTAGTGCAAAAAAGGAAATAACCTAAGACCTTTTTATCATACTAATATAACAGTACCTACATTTTAATTACTGTAGCATAGCATACAGGATGAATGTGTTCATTTCGATAAAACAAGAGTCATATGTATAATTATATGAAGTTATTTAATGTACAGTATATTTCTAGCAATTTTATTAAATATACTGCATTAGAGCATCCTTACTAAAAACACAGTCACTGATAAGTCAAAAACTAAAGATATAATATTTGCACAATCCATTCAATTAAAGCTCACAGACGTGAAATATTTCGGAATTACAAAATGTTTAAATCTTTTTACTAGAAGGATCATCTTTTTTTTTGGTACTGGGGATTGAACTCAGGATCTCGAGCTTGCCAGGCACTCGCTGTGCTGTTGAGCTAAATCCCTGGCCCGGAAAGATCATCTTAAAATTTGTATCTTTCAAATTCAGTGTTCATGAAGTAGAATTTAATACATTTTACAAACTATTGCAGATTTTTCTTTATTTCCCCTACATCTTTAAATACAATTATAGGGTTGAAATTACAGAATTAAAAAAAATTATAGAACGTCCCAAGAGGACTGCTTTAATGCAAGGGCTCCTAACCTATCTGGGAGATGGGAAGGCAGGGTTCACAAAAGACTTCTGCAAATCTCATGAAAACATGGAACAAATACATACACAACAGATTTCTCATACTTATTACTGGGGACAGTTACTCGTAGAGTCATTTGATTTAGAATAATTTTATTTAGAACATATCATCATTCCATTATTCAAAGAAATGTATATTCTTAAAATCCTTTTACTGTGTTATTATATTACTCAACTCTCTTCTAAAAGATTACGTGGTGCCAGTGTTTTCACAAAGGAACAAATACAGATAGAGGAGAAAGTTAATCATAAAATTCTGTTACACTTTTTTTTTCTTTTTTGGGGGGTCAGAATAGAAAACATCTGATGTTTAAGATTTTAACTCTGGCTTAAAGTATTCTAATTCTATTCTCCCTCTGCTCTTTACTACAGTAAGGTATTAAAAGCAGCAGCATTATCAATGAAATACAAAAAAGATTCCCCCTGCCCAGTACCAGGGATCAAACTCAGGACTTCGTGCTTGTGAGGCAGGCACGGCAACAAACAAAAAAGATTTTGATGATACAACTGAAAGCAACTTTACTACCAAGGCATGGAAATAGTCTACTTTTAACATAAAGTAGTAATTATTCATGAAAAAATATATGTAGAAAATTATACTAAAACACCACCCAAGAAGCCAAATACATTATAATATTAATAGGTTTCCTTGCATTAAAACAATAAGCCTGAAGGATTGGAGATCCAGCCCAGAGGTATAGCATTTGCCTACCATGCACAAGGCCTTACTTCCATCCCCATCACTGCAATTATCATCATCATCATCGTCATCATCATCATCATCACCATCACCACCACCACCACCACCACTATCTCTAATGATAAACTCTAATGCAATAGATATTTCCCAAAGCATATAAATAATCTAGACTTTTACTGCTATACCCATGCTCTCATTTCATCAGTATTAATCTTACCTTTCTTTTCGGTCCGGATTGCTTAAAACATGAAAAAGAAAAAAAAAGTAAGAGGCAAGACCTCATTGTTGATATATCATTGTAGTTGTAGTAACTGTACTTAATAAGGCAAAATTATAATGTGATTAATTTGTTTTAAAGACATCCTGTATATATTATAGTCTACGTTTTATAAAATTTACTGATTCCAATCCTATCATCAGGTATGATTATTTGCTGTTGATTAAGAAAAAAAATTTTAAGGCTGAAACTTATACACAAAAATCCTGGAATAAATAGTGTGTATTTATTTGGGAAACAAGGAAAAGCCTGGGACTTAAAATCATGGCCTCTTATCAGAAGTCCAATGTATAAAAGTTCCACACTTTTACATAGTATACGGAAACTTAAACAATTAACATCAATTACTCAAGAGTGGAACTATACAGTGTGCAATTTAGAATAAAGCCCAACATTCACATCCTGAAATTATTTAATCAAGGAATTAAATATTCAGAACTAACAATAAGCAAAGCACAGCTTACAAAAATCTCCAGATTCTATATTGACTCTTGTATTCCCATCATGTGGAACACACAAGTAACAACTTAATCCAAGAGTATTAAGAAAAAATATGGTAACATCTTTACATTCAAGAAAAATACATATATTAAAAATTTTTCAACAATGAAGGAAAGAATGACTATAAACTTAACATATATTTGAAAATTTACTCTTAAATTAGACCTAATACCTAATCTAGTCATTTCAACTTTACAGTATTGGGCCCAAAAAGTGAAAATTTAGTCTTTCTGATTTGTTATTTTTTTAAACTCACCTGGTGCAGAGAAGAGGTAGAATACACAACAGAGGTAAAAGAAACAGACTGAGTTTTCCCAATAAGCCAAGGAAATTAGGAAGAAGGAAAAATTCTCTCTTTCTCTCAACTTTTTCTTCAGAAAAATAAATTTATTATACGATACCTAATTTACAAGTCACAGCATTCCACATGCAGCTTCAATGAGTTTGTGAAGTCCTGCTCTACAGGAGCTTACATACACTTTTTTGTAACAGGGAGGTTGTTATTAATCATGTAAGTCTGTAAAAGTGTCAACCTAATTCTCAGACTATTTCACACAAAATGGAAAGGAAAATTTACCTTGAACTAGTGCTGTTCTAGTATCTTAACATTTTTTAAGGTGGGAAAAAAAGACATCAGTTTTTGTATCCATGTCGATTTAAAACTAAATTCTTTCAAGATGGTGCTGTTTGTAAATAGTTAAATTTAGCTTATATAGGAGTCCATTTTCTCACTCACTGATTATACTTGTTTTTGCAGACATTTATTTCCCCTTATAAATTTTTTTGGCTCTCCTTTAATACCCCCCCCAAGTGAAAATATAAATAAAACAAGCCCATAAGATATTCTGTTTCTTTAAGTCTGATTTGAGGGGTACAGATGGTATAGAATTATATGTTTTTTTAAATTCTACATTTCTTTTTCCATACTAATACTATTCTCTTTTACCACTATTAGTGTATGAGCAGCCTTTTATTCTTGTTTATTTCTTTTTCGATACTGGGACTCCAACTCAGGACTCTATGCTTGCCCGGCAGGCATGGTGCCGCTGAACTAAATCCCCGACCCAACCTATCTTTTAAATATGAATTAATAATATCTGGAATAGCAGTGAGAAAACAGACTGGAATTTTAATTATCTCCCAAAGATTAGCTAAATATTTAACAATCTTCACTCATTGCTTTCACTGTTTTTTTTTGAGACAGGGTCTCTGTACGTACATAGTTCAGACTGGCCCTGAACTCACCATGTAGCCCAGGCTGAACTCAGTGATCCTCCTGCCACAGTCTCGAGTGCTGGGATTACAGGTGTGCACCACCACACCAGACTCACTCACTGCTTTTTAGATAAAAAGGTGTGAAGAACTTGTTCCCCATATCTTTCACTAAAGAAGTTACAAAGGACTTAGTATTCAGGTCTGATTCATTTTAAAAAGTAAGCTGTATATATTCAAAACTAACAGTACTGTATACTGTTACCCCAAGAATACTATGTGTGAATTACCAAATTGGTAGCATTTCTTTCAATTTCAAATTAAGACATGAGAATTTTTATCAGAACCTGTAAAAGTCAGTGTGTTCGTCCTCACTTTCACCTGAACCCTAACGATTCTGCTCAGTGCCACATACCGTAAATGAATTTTCTCTCCATGCCTTTGAAGATGTGGTTGCTGTGGCATGAGTGTCCTCTTTCACCTATCCAGTACACTCAAAACTCCTTTTACCGCTTTCTTTGTTGTGACTTCTTTCTTATCAGTAATACTAGTACACATACTTTGTATATCTCTACTACTGCAGTTATTGTGTATTTATTTGTCTTTTTGTCTTTCCTAATTAAATTTGACCATCAAGGGCAAGAACTTTGTCACATTTATCTTTGAATACTGTTACTCATCTATGCGGGCTATATCACATAAAATCACTGATTCTGCAGCAAGCAAACTGAAAAACCTCTCAATGACTTGTCTTTGAATTCAAAATCTTTTTAATGACAGTCACACTGCAGATGGAATAAGAAATGTTTCTTATACAGAGTAAGTAAAAGAGAAACAAGTAGAATCTGTCCTGCTTACTTGACTCCACAGTTTTATTTATTGCCTTTAATCATTCTTGTCAAGTATTTTCACTCAGGATTGCTTCTTTGAATACAAATTAATTTGGGTCGTTGCTTTTTTTGTTTTGTTTTGGTTTTTGGTACCAGGGATCGAACTCAAGACCTTGAGCTTGCCAGGCAGGCACTGTGCTGCTGAGCTAAATCTCTGTCCCTGTTGCTGTTTTTTAAGAAACACTATTTTACTGTTAAACACTAGATCTTATAAACTGAATCTAGTCATTTACAAAGATGACCAATGGCATACATTTAAAGTATAATAGGTGCCGAGACCTATAATAAAATACAACAATCCAGTTTCCAGAATGTAATCATTTTTTAAATATTCCAATGAGGAAATAAAGGATAAAAGAATAGGTCAGTAAGGGCCGGGGAATTTAGCTCAGTGGTTCCGCCGCCTGCCTCACAGGCTCAAGGACCCAAGTTCGATCCCCGGTACCAAAAAAAAGAATAGGTCAGTACGTAAATAATTCTGAACAGATAGCTTCAAAAGCACTATTAATTTAATAATTTTGGTCATAAAATGTATCACAACTTGATTATAAACTTTAAATTAATTTTATCAGAATATCAAGACAGTACCTCCTCAGCAACAGTTTCTGTTTTTGTGACTAATGTATGAGCCTGTGTCTCCTCGTACCTTCCCCTAATTATCCTCCTTTTATCTTCTGAGCCACACATAGGCCAAAGAGCTTAATTATTTCGTGTACTTTACACATTAGCAAAAGCCAATGTGTAATCATTTATTTTTTGTCTTTTAACTGAATTTTTCAAATATCTTGTGAAAAAACTCTGATAGAACAAACAATAGAGCGAAAGAAGGATTTAAAAACTCTTAAGTATAGGAGAGATTTAAGACTTTTATGTTACAGCAAATCTATGTAAATATCAAATAGAGCAAAAATTACTAAGGTTCAGACACATTTTTCTCCTAAGGCAGAGGAGCCCAAGTTCAAGGCCAGGCTGGGCAACTTACCAAGATGCTGTCTCAAATTAAAAATAAACAGCTTGGCATGGTGGTGCACACTGGTAATCCTAGCACTCAGGAGGATGAGGCAGGGGCAGGCTGAGGCAAGAGGACCAGTGCAAGCTCAAGGCCGGTCTTGGATATATAGTGAGTTCAAGACCAGCCTGAACTACATAGTGAGACCCTGTCTCAAAAAAAAAAAAAAAAAACCCAAAACAAACACAAAAAATAAAACAACAAAAAAATCTAATAAATAAGTAAAAGGGTTCAGTGCTCCCTGGGTCCAATTCCTAGTACTGGGGGAAAAGCAAACCATAAAACTGAAACATTTCCTTAGTGAACAGCAGCCTTAGTTGACATTTTTAAAAAATGAAGAACAACACCTAAAATGTACAACTAATTTTAAAATTTTACTTTTTGGAAACTATAATCCAACAGGCTATTTAACTGCTACAGCCTAGCAATTTGAGTCAACTGAAAGGGAATATAAACATTCCAAAAATGGTTCTGAAAAAAATCTCCAAAGCATTTAAAATACCAAACTCTCAACTATTACTTTCATTATTTGAACATGGAAGCAATACTTTCAAGATCAACAAGAACCTTAAATGAATAAAACTATTTAAATAAAAATTTTCTGAAAAATTTAAAATTGATGAGATTTATTTCAGTACTGTGAAATTTTATAAACCTTAGCAAGTAAAGCACTAATTATAGCAGCTTTACCTTTCAGAGTTCAATATGAAAAGGATATCTCAAGCAAACACTTAAGGTTCAAATTATAAATTAGCTTAATTTAAGTATCTTCTTAGATCTGGATTGCAAAATAACAGAACAGCTTATTTTAAATTTATTTATCTATAGAATGTGATTATTTCAAAGGCAGATACACTACAAAAAAATTCAGGTCATAAATTATTTCAGAGATACATCTCTTAGAATGAAAATAGTAAAGTTTCACAAAGGAGAAAAAATTTTTTTTGTTACTTTAAAGTAAAATACCCCTTTTTTAAGGAGGGTGGAATGGAGATACTAAACAAAGAGAATTCCAATCCTTACCTTTGGGCTGCTGTTTTTACTACTGGTATTTGTACATGAGCATGATGAAAACGTCTACCATGAACTATAGTTCCAGAACATAATGACGCATTTTGTGTATTTTCACTGCAAAATTCAAAAAACAAAGAATAATTTGAATGGGGAAAAATTACATACATGTTGACCAAAAAAATTTTTTTAAAATCTGAGTACATATATAAAAATCTTTATTTTACCACTTAAAAAAAAATCTAGCCATGTAAAATTGTTCACTAGGAATCTTCTATTTCCCTAATTCTTCTTTCAAATGTCTCCAATCCAGTTCAAGGAAAAATAGAACATTACAATAGAAATCAGGATTCCTAAATTTTAACTCTGATCCCACTACTAACTTGAAAATTAGCCTTCACAATTTCTCAGTTATCTATAAATATAATTTTAATCTGATATATGGGTTGCTACTGATAACCAAATACTAAGTAGAAGTTGTTCACTATGATAGCCACTAAGAAAGCTGGGTTATATCTGGAAGACTAGAGCAGCAAGAAATCTTTAAGAAAAAAAAAAGGCCCTTGTTAAAATAATCTTAAATTTGTAGTTACCTTCTAAATGAGATGACCACTCTAGCTCATAGTGCCTTCCATTTCTAATATTATGACCGAGATTCTACTAAATATATGAAAGCAAATGCATGAGATGCCAGCCTACCGAAATGTTTCTTGTGATATGTTTTATTCAAAACCTAGCAACCAATGCAATCAATCCTACTCCCCAGATTCAAAGCAAAAGATCCATATACTGAGACCATCGTATCTCATGGCTTACTGACAAATTAAAAAAAGGTATAGGGTGGGCCTACTGGCCACAAAGATCGTTATTTCGTGCCAAACTCTTCATCTTTTCTGTAGGAAAGTGTGGTGATGCACCTATACCTCAATTTCTTATTGTTGCTCAACATGTTAAGTCCAATTGGGTTGCCTTTCAAAGTTTTAAAACTTTCACTCTTGTTTCGTCCCACATATGTCTTCAAGATGAAATCACCAGAACTAGTAGCAACAATTTCAGATGGACGATTTAACTGTAAAAAGATCCATAAATATTAAAGAGTCAATTAACACCACAATATATCAACAACTATTTGAAAACTCACTAGAAAAATGACTAAAAAATATACAACTCTTTGGGATGGAGGGGTAAGGTGACAACTGTGGTATGGACCTGAGAGTGATTCAGTTGTTATAATTTTTTTCTAAAGACAATGCAAATTTGTAGGAACGTGGGAATATATTATTTTCTTTTCATATAAATCTTTCCAAAGATATCTAAAAAACTAAGGGTAGCAGATCTCAGGATAGCTTTCTCCAGAGTAAAAAGCAAGCCTTCCCTGCTCAGAAGGCCTTGGTGCTATCTACAGGGCAGTACTGAAAAATGTGACTGCTGTTATTTAAACAGGTGCCTTTCTGTAACGATTTTTGCTTTATATTAAAATTTTTATAGAAACACAGAAACTGAAACAGGGCTTCGATACCTTCACAAGTGGAACTGTTAACATAAGCATATTAATAATAATCACCTGGGGGAGATCACGGTGTCATAGGCTGTCCCACTCCCCTTGGGAATCCCTTAACAAAGAAACCTCCTTGGTTATTTTTACTGCACAAGACACTTATAAGTTGCTTTCACACTCGGGCAAAAGTCCTCAGTTCTTAGTGATAATTCCCCAAAAATGACATTAAAAAAAAAAACCACTCTAATTTCTGTTGTTTCACTATGTTGGGGTCTCAGTATACTGCCCAGGCTTGCATCAAACTCCTGAGCTCAAGGGATGCTCCTGCCCCAGCCTCCCAAGTAGTTTGGTGTACAGGTTACATGCCACTGTGCCTGGCACTTTTCTTTTTTTTTGAGTTAAGATCTCACTGGTCTTGAATATTTGATCTTTCTGCCTCTCAGAATGCTGATTATAGGCATGTGCCACCATGACAGCATTACTTTCATTTTCAAGACAAGTTTAAAATTTTTTTTTATTCTTTCATAAGAAACTATACTCCTAAGATAGTAACTGGACTTTTCCCCCTAATTATTTCTTTTTCTTTCTTTTGGTACCAGGGATTGAACTCGGGACCTTGCACTTGTGAGGCAGGCGGTAGAACCACTGAGCTAAACCCCCGACCCATCCCCTAATTATTTCTATATAAACACCACAGTATCTCAAAAAATATCTCTCACAAAGAGTCCTCTTGAGGAAAGCATTCAGTGAGCCAGCACTCTTATTTTCTGACATATCTACATTACATAATCCAAAATATCTACTTTTGACACATTGCTTACTTTCTTTTCAAGACATTTCATTGCTTCTTTTTAAAAAAAAATATTTTATTGGTACACTTTAGGCATACAATATAATGACATTCATCATTGGAAATTTGCACCTTTACATAATCACTCTTGGTTCTTATTTTTCCCCCTTCCCCTGCACTCCCTTCAACCCCTCCATCCCTCCCTATTTACAAAGACTTTGTTTCCATTTTTTCACTTTCTCATATTAATTCCATTCCATTATTTTATTGCTTCTTAATCCAGTGATGGCAAACCTTTTAGAGCTTTCAATGATATAAACAGCCTGCGGCCTCATGCCTGCCATACATTCGCTACCACTGTCTTTCCTGGGTAAAAAGATCCTCAGGGACAAGAAACCAGAAGAGCTAAACCAAGAGTTGAGGCTATTTTCCTATAAAGCACCTATGATCCCAGAAGATCCAGCCGAGAAGCTAAAATGAAATAAATTTCCAACATATTCACATAACTAGGGAGACAAAGGCCAGAGTTCCACAGAAGTAGAAGTGAATTTCCAACATACTCACATTGCTAGGGAGGCAAATATTGAAGTTTTAAATCTACCAGGTACAGAAGGCCTTGTAAACACCTCAAAAAATATGAATGAGGATCATAGAGAACAAGTATAAATTAGAAATAGTACAGCCCTCATAGAGGAAATCCAGCTTCTTTCTAATAATATGAATTCTCAGGTGGATTAAAGTAACATGCTCAAATTTTTTATACCAGAATTACCTGGATGAGTTAAAACAAACTGCTCTGCCCCAGCAGGTCTGGGGCTGACCTCAAATTCATGCTCTTCTTGCCTCTACCTCCTAAGTGCTGTAATTACAGGCAGATGCCACCATCTGGGCTAATCTCCCTATTTTATACATTATAGGAGCTCTTCAGGTTGGGATCCAGCAACTGGACCTACAAATATCAGGTCAATTACTTGACCTTAATGAGTGATGGGCAGAAAACACTCAAATTTCCCTCATAGGTTCTTTTCTTCAACAAAATCTCTCATATAGTATGTGAAGTTTATCTCTATGTTTTAAAGATCATTAAGCTTAAAAAGCAAAGTAAGGCCAGGCATGGTGGCCCACGCTTGTGATCCCAGCACTCCGAATCTCTGCAACTTCAAGACCACCCTGGACTCCAGTGAGCTCAAGGCCAGCCTGAACTGCCTGAGACCTTGTCTCAAAAAACCCCCAATCAAACAAACAAACTCATGCACAAAGTAATTTGCCTGAACTATACTAGAACAAAGACTGGTCTGATTTCAAAGCTTTTGTTTTCCCATACCACCCCGAGGGAGGAAATTTTATAGTGTTGTTTGTAGAAAACGTGAACGTTAATTTATAACAAGAGGCAATATCAAACAATGCTATGCTAGTAAAAACTGAAATCAACAGGATACAGAACACCTCAAGAAAAATGGATCTATGCTAGAAATTTCTTAATGTGGAAATTAAACCTTCCTCTTAAGAATGAATTGTTTAAGTCAAGATTACATCGACATATAGGCACTCAGCCATGTTTCTCACTAAGGAATCAATTCCAATTGGTCCTTCCTTTTTTGAGGAGAGGGGAGTGGTACTCAGGATTGAACTCAGGGGATTGAACTACAGCTCAATATTTTTTATTTTGAGGCAGCATCTCCCTAAATCACTAAATTGCCCAGGTTAGACTTGAATTTGAGATTCTCTTGCCTCAGCTTCCCAAAATGCTGGGATTACCGGCATATGCCACCACACCTGGGTTCAAAATTTCTTCCTGAGAAAGCATGTGGGCATAGCTACAGACAACCCAAAGCCCATTATCAGGTACATACAGGATACCGCATAAGTAGGGAAAAGATAGAATGAAGGCCTCCTTGAACTTTGTTAGAAGTTAATGGAGATTTACTAAGGGCAGCTAGGGGTGGCCTCTGCCCCTGTAGATTAGACTCAAGCAATTAGAAAAACAAAGGCAAGGCAGTGAGACTCACACAGGCAAAGAAACTAAGCTCAGGAAGGTCCCAAGTAGATTAACATGAACCCCTTTACTTAACCCTTAAATCTAAACTACCTGTCCCTAAACCCCCCTCCATAATCCTAGTCTCCATCAAACAACAGGAAAGGTCACATGACCCGAAGAAATCCAAGGGGAGGACCAAAAGCAGCCATGGAGCCAATCAGATTCCAGAAGCCTAAAAAAGGAGAAGAAACCTGATAAAAGGAACTACAAAGCTCCCCACTGCTCCAGAAGGAGTATTTCCCCATTTCCCTTTCAAATGCTCCTTACTTGTCCAGAGGAGCTAGCTGTCTGTCTGTCTGTCAGTCTCTTTCTCTCTCCCCCCCACCTTCAAATAAATCATCTGCTTTTAAAGTCTGCTTCTTTAGTTCTTTTATGGATGCTGGTTTAGGATCACCATGAGCTGCATGTTCCAGCAGAGCTGTGGGACGGCGTGGGGGTGGTGTACACCTCTTCTCAGACGTTACAATCAAAGCAAGAGAATCTACTGTACTAGTAAAATTCTTTAAATTCCCAACTCTGTTTTTCACAGGTTGCTTATATGCTTTATAACTTTAATCAGCAATAAACAACTAGTAACTCTAGCTTAGTCAGATAGGTTTCCTACCATCTGTTACATTTAGAATGTGGCTGGGACTGTGATCATTCTACAGGAGAATCACGGAATATATATTTGTAGAGATCCTCCTTTTACACAATTTAAAAATGGTAAAGCATAATTCCAGCTGCCAGAAAATTCAGAAATAACTGCTGAATTAAAACATTATAAAATGGGCATGGTGGCACATGTCTACAACCCCAGGGAGGTTGAGGATTTCCTCAAGACTAACCTGGTCTGCATACTGAGTTCAAGCCCAGTCAAGGACAGCCTGGATTACAGAGCAAGAACCTGTCTCAAAAGGCAAAAGAAAAACAACAACAAAAAAACACGACAACCTGGCACATCTACTTTTCTAATAGTTTTTATTTTCCATAATTCCGTGCTCCTAATTTGGTAACCTACATCAAATTATTAGGGAAAAATAAAGTGAAAATAAGTAAAAGCTGAGCCATTTATGACTCATTTTATGGATTAAACTTAATAAAATCAAGATGATACATTCTATCCAGAATTTATCTGCCCTTCCATCCCAGCCTAAAACAGGTTTTCCAGATAAGCAAGCACAGCATCAGGAGAACTACTGTGAACAGATGACTAAGTATAAAACGATCATACTTGAAAACCATATAAACACAGGCTTCACTGGTGTCAATTTTGCAACTATAAATATATCATTATTTGCAAAAGAAAACTAATCTGCAAAGATTCAATAACTGCACTTAATAATGCTAACAAAATACAGCTGTTATGGATGACTACTGGTGTCATGCATTACGTGAGTTACACAGTCTCTCTCATAAACCTCACAACAATTCTATAAAGTGGACAGTTATTGAGCTTAGACTGTGATACTGTCTGATTAATATGCCAGCCAGCTAAAAAGGCTGTTTTTCTATCATAATGTGTACAACACATTTATACAGTATAAACAGCAACAATGAGATCGACAAACTTTTTCTGTAATGAGGCAGATAGTAAATATTATAGGTTTTTTTGTCATCCAGTTTCTGCCCATCTACACAACTCTGTCCAAATATTCACATCTGTTGGTGCAGGACAAAAGCATCCAAAGACAATATATGAAGGAGTATGGCTGTTTTCCAGCAAATTTTCATTTAAGGATACAAATTTGAATTTTATATAAT